GTGTGCGTGTGTGTGTGTTAATGATATTTGGCCCAGAAGTCTTTCTGTTGCTCCGGTAATGTTATCTCGTTTACGAATTAGTTGGAAATTTAAAATGGGCGATCCATGTTATCAAAAAAGCAATGGCTTTTAAATGTTTTCATGGCATGATAATTTAGCGGTTGCCATTTCAAATAGCAGGCCGAGCAATGCGATGTAGTTCTAGGGTCGATGATACTCTCTGACTCATGCTGCTAGTTCCAATCCAGCAATGGGAAGTATCAGTGGTAAAGCGATTTTTCTTCAGTGGTCCTTCCAGATGGCCAAATCGCTCTTTACTGTTGCTCATGGAAGTCGCAAATTCTCTGGAATTTGTTCAGAATTGCTAAAACTGTGTGAGGTTTAGCGTGAAGCAACCAGTGGAAGTGGTGCGACAGTCGTCCGGTGTTATCTCCGTCACAACAACTACAACTACCAGTGCTCTTACGCAGCAACAGCATCACCATCAGCTGCAGCAGCAACAGCAGCAGCCGCAGCATCAACCACAACCTCAACCTCCACAGTCTCAGCTTCAACAGCAATCGCTGCATCAACAGCAACCGCAGCAGCAGCAGCAGCAGCTTGCAGCGACAGTGCCGCCACAACAGCAAGTTTGTGCGCAAGTGAATGATGAGAGCACACTGGCGCTCTCTCCTCACGTGGACATGCCAACGGTTCGTACTTAATGTGTATTATTTCCTAACCGGTTCACTCGGGTGACTGACTGCAAAGGTTTCACAATTTTCAGGTAGAGGTACCCTGTTTACCAGTCCCTTTGCCAGTTCGTCCTTCAGTGAACCGGTGGCAGAAAGACGAACCCACCAACATGCTGCTTCTAAACAGCCGACGAAAGAATGAGCCATTACGAAATGTTTGTCTACGAACTGCAGTTGATAGCATGTGTGACCAGTCGAGCCACGTTCAGGTGTTCCGCCTGCCAAAGAGGGGAGGGGTTGATTTTGTTTTAGATTTTAAGGGGAGCAGCTGGCTTTCCCTTGAAGCTGTTCGCTGCGAAAATTTGACCGTTGGAATGGGCGCCTTTTGTTGTGAATTTAGAGGGGAAAGGATGTGTGTACTGTTGTGCTGAAGGAAGACCAGCGTTGCGACTATTTGCATTTTTCATGTGTCATTTTTATTTTTTCTGTTGCAGTTATTTTTGTTTGTTTTATAGAGTGTGCCATCACCGGCAACAGCGATAAATGCAGTCGTATTAAGTGCATCGCGATCCTCGACGCCTGATACGAATGTTATGAAGCAGCGGTTCGCCATCCCAAATTCGGTAGCCAGTCCACACGAGGTCCGTTTCCTCTTTCACCCTGTAGCATGATGTAGTAGTTCTTGTACGGTGCGGAAGCTTTATTTATCAGGACTACGAATACAGACCGTGTTAGTGGTGTTGTCGAGTGCTTTCACACACACACACACCAGACGTAGCTGTGCTGTACGTCTCTGTACTGAGATACAAACACATCTCGTTAGTGTTTGTTCCCTCCAGTGTTTTTGCATCACTTTTTCGGCGTTTCCTGATAGTAATTTACTTTCTTGTGGATGCCACTGTCTGGCAGTGAGGGAGCAATATGCTTTGTCCTTGTTCGCGTCATAGTTACAACTTCTTGCACGTCGAGCGTCTAGTTGCTTATATAGCCATGAAGAGACATTCCGTGGGGCACTCTCCTTTGTTTCATTTCTCTCTCTCTCTAGCACAACCAGTGCCCGCTTTTCCGGTTTGCAGCAGCGGTTTCGCATCCGTACATTGCGGCCTTTGCATAGTGGTATTGAAGAGTTGGACACGAACTTTCCGGTTTTCTACTTGGCGATGCTGTGCAGATTGCGCCAGCCGACACTTTTCTCCTGTACAATCTCCAGCTGGAAATTGTGACTCATATTTACCAAGACAGACGTAGCTTTTAAATTCTGTCAAATTTGCGGCAGCATTTTTATCCTACATTAGTTTTTACTGCGCGGTTTTTGCTGAAAATACTTTTCCTTGGGGATCCATTAGAATAGTCCTCTATTTTCATATTTTATCAGTTTTTACATGCAATGAAACCAATATTTTAAATTTGCCGCTAGAAAAACCAGTCCTTGTACAAAAAGGCTGACCCGTTTCAGTGGTGATTGATGTGAGTGTATGTGCCAGGTAGGCGGAAATCGTTCTCAGCTTTCTTCCTGGGCAATCGTGGGAAGAAGAAGCCATCCGCAGACTTGTCAGCGAGCGGTTACTCTTGGCAAATGCATTTGGGTTGCTGCTGAGTGCCTCAGCATTTCGAAAGGAAGGGACGGGGTGGTGGCGTGATTTTGCATAAGGTTTTACCGCTTTCAGGTTGCGACGTTGAAAGCAATGGCGGCACAGGCTTCGTCAAGAGCCGAACTGGTGCCGGCATCACTGCAGAACTCGCTGCCAAGCACGCCATCGCTGAATATGCAGCCGCCAGTGGTGGCGACCGCTGGCACAATATCGATGCCCCCGCCGGGTGTTCCTCAGCTGACCAGTGACGGCAGCAGTAGTAGCAGCAGCAGTAGCAGCAGCGGCAGCAGTAACAGCACCAACACAATGGTCCTGGTCTCGACCGCATCCAGCATGTCACCAGCAGCAGTGGCTCCGATGCACCACCACTCTGCTCACATTCACAGTTTGCATAATGACCTGACTGCGAATGATATCGACCACAATGCGCTGCGACAGGTGCTTCGGATCTCGACCACCCAGGAATCGCGAAATCACTTACCACAAACGGTGCAAAGTTATCTGTTGTTTTCCTACTGTTCTGTAAGCGTTCGTTAAAAATTCGTTCGCTGCAATGGCGATGGGCAAGTATGCATTTTTGACCTTTCGACAGCACCTTTAGATGTTTTCTTAAGCGCTGCCGACTACAACGCGTTGTGGCTAGCAGTCTGCTGCTGCCGTTGGTGATCGAGAGTGTGATCCTTCCAATAGAAAAACCAGTCCTATTTATTCTTTTCGATAGCAAATTGGTGCCGGTACATGCTACCAGAAAGTCAAGCCTTACTTTTAAATGACCGTTAAGAAACGAGGCCATCGAAAGCGTTGCCAGTATGTGATTGTTGTTGGTACTTGCTGTCGTTTGGGCACTTCCGAGTGTGTTTAACTCAGCGAGGATAAATACGAAGAGTGTTTTGGTTCGCGACTTTGATCACCTCAAGTATTGGTGGTATTGCTGCAACCTGGTTGCTAACTGACGACCCGATTCTGCATTTGTGATGCGTTTCTATGACAAATATGCGTCTGTGCCCTAATAAGGAATCGTTTTCTGCAGGCAGTAATACCATGTTGGCTTGGCGCCTCGCCTTTGGGCCGTGCACCACCGATGCCTGAATACGACGCGCAGCTGAGAATGTTGGACCATGCGATCGCTCGAATTCCGTTACCGATTGATGTGGAAAGGCCGCGCAGCTATTTGCCAAAAATGCCGTGCCAAACAGCAACATATTACCCTCAGGCACCTCCGCTGAATGCTGATTCATTAGAATACTACCTCCGACTAAGTCCGGAAACGCTCTTCTTTGCCTTTTACTACATGGAGGTTAGCTGTTGGGGACTTTTGATTTCTCAAATTTCTTTTGCAAGCAGAGCGCATGCCAAGTTTTTGTAATCTTCAACGGTCTTTAGGGTTCACGTGCACAGTTGCTAGCGGCGAAAGCGTTGAAGAAGCTGTCGTGGCGATTTCACACGAAGTATTTGATGTGGTTCCAGCGACATGAAGAGCCAAAGCAAATCACGGATGACTACGAACAAGTATTGCTTGCTTTGATACTTTGATCAGTTGTTTCCCCTTCGTAGCATTCCTGTAGTTGAAAGGCTTTCTGTGGTTGTCTGACCAATACTGCATCACCTGTTGTCAGAAAGTGCTCTTTTTCGATTTCCGTTGCCATACTTCCTTCATTTCATCAGCAGGAAGGGCTAAATGTCCTTTCTTATGCCATTTTTATGATTCGCCAATTCGCGTATTTGTTTTGTGTAACTATTGTCCGCGTACTGGGAATTCATTACTTGGAATTCAGCAAAGGTAGAAGCTTTTTGTCTCGTACGAGAAGGCGACTTTTACTGATGTATATCAGTGATATTACGACTTTCGTGAGTTCTGCTGCAACACTTGCACAAAATACATATTGTCGCAACCATTTTTGTGTGTGTGTTCCGAGTGCGTTTTATCCGGTTCAACTCGAGATAAAAAATTTATACATATATATATGTATAAATTTTTTATCTCGAGTATATATATATATATAT